TTCGGGGGAGCGTAAGACCCGGGTTTGCCAGGACTCGGGTTCGCCATCGTTTTTTGACGACCGCGACTCGGATTTTGACGAGGAGGAGTTTTGTGGGATGTCCGCAGCGGGAGGCCTCGTCAAAATGCAGGCTCGGCCTCGTCACTTTTTTGACGACCTCTTCGGGGATTTCCGAGTCCCCCGTACCCGGGTCTCGTACGTCTCCCCGATTGGCGCGGTGCCAGCGCCAGGAGCGCCGCCCGTAGCCACCACCTTGGCGGCGTCCCCCACCAACATCGCGGCAGCCGCGGCGAAGGGGATGGAGACTGAGCCGCTCTCGAGCGCAGCAGCAGGAGAGCGAGGAAAAGGCGAGCACCTAGCCCGCCTGGCGCCCAAGGCAGGCTTGAGCCAAAATGGCTACGGACTGTTGAACTCTCACTGCTGACGAATAATTATTGTTGATCCCCCTTCCGGTAACATTCTGTGTTTTTTCACTTGAAGTGCCCCTCCTGGGGCTCGCATCATGTTTTCTATCAGGGATAATCTTCCTCCTCGAACTGTGCCCCTGGCCCATGGTTTACAAAAACAGCGGCTCCTGCCTAATACTTCTTCTCGCTGGGGACATCCTTGCAATGTATAAAAGATTCGCGCTTTCGCCTCTGCCTTCCACGCAATTGATTCAGGCGCCACGCCCTCGCCTTTCAGGAATCGCGCTCTTGCTTGGGACTTCATCATGATTTACTTAAGGATCGCGCTCTCGCCCAAGACTTCTTGGCGAATCATGCGTGACTCACGCATTCGCGTGCCATACGTGTACGTGTTTTTCAATTGAAGTGCTCCTCCCAGGGCTCGCTGTGTTTACCGGGGCAGGTTTTCCTGCTCTAAGTGTGCCCTTGGCCCCTGGTTTACGATCAAAGCGGTTCCCGCCTGATACTTCCTTACAATGTATTGAAGAATCGCGCTCTCGCTAGCGACGTCCTTTTTTTTAAAAAAAAAAGATATAAAAAAGCAGTCGCGCTCTCGCCTGATACTTCCTCGCAATCTACTCAGACGTCGCGCTTGTGACACTCAGGAATCGCGCTGTCGCTGGGGACTTCCTCGCAATTGATTCAGGCGCCGCGCCCTCGACACTCAGGAATCACGCTCTCTCTTGGGATTTCCTCACGAGATGTATTTTGGAATCGCGCTGTCGCCCAAGACTTCTTGGCGATTCATGCAGGACAAACGCTTCAGCAACCTGCCTGCTCGATCTGGCCGCGGCGTTCCCGCCCGATCTGCCCGTCTTGTGTTGCCACGAGTTTTCTGCTCCTGGCTCCCCTCTTGCTATTCTCTCTCTCTCTCTCTCGTGCTCCATCCTCCTCTCTCCCCCTTGTCCCTTCCTTCCATCCGTCCTCTCTTCCCCTGCCTCAGGTGCTGCACGAAATGCATGCTGCAGGTAAGAAAGATAGATCCCCGAGGGGATACGACCGAAGACGAAGAGAGTGGGTGTCGAGGGTTTGGGATATACGTGCGGAATGGCACGCGAGAAGAAACGAGCGAACATAATTTACATTATTGTTGTTGTTGTTCCTGTTGTTGGTGTAGTTGTTGCTGCTACTGTTGTTGCTGTTACTGTTGACGATGATGCTGATGCTGCTGATGGTGGGGAGGAGGAGGAGAGTGAGGATGAGGATGATGATAACGATGGTGATGTCGATGCTGATGACAATGATGATGGTGATGATAATGATAATGATTATGATGGCGATGATGATGGCCATGGTGATGATGTTAATGATAATTATGATGATGACGATGAGGAGGAGGAGGATGGTGATGACCATGATGATGATGATGATGATGATGATGATGATGATGATGATGATGATGCTGATGGTGATGATGATGTTGATGATGCGGAGGAAGAGGAGGATGGTGATGATAATGATAATGATAATCATGATGCTGATGCTGATGCTGCTGATGATGATGATGATGATGATGATGATGATGATGGTCGTGGTGGTGGTGATGATGATGATGATGATGATGATGGTGGTGGTGGTGGTGATGATGATGATGATTATGAACCACGGTGTTTCCACATTCGGGTCCTACGCACCCCTGGGTGTGAAACTTCTTGATTTGTGCAAGTTGTCCAAAGAGGCTCCCAGACGAGTCCAAGAGGGGCCAAGAGGCTGTCCATGACCCCACGATGGCCACAAGAGAGCCCCAAGAAGACCCACAAATGCTTTAAACCAGCAAGGACTGTGGATTGTCTTCTACGCTTCCTCGTATTATTTCGATTCCTTCGTGTATTGGGTTCGCCCCCAAAACCGCTTCGAAGAAGCCGCAGACTCCCAAATGGCCCCGAAGAGGCCACCAGAGGCGCCCAGAGTGCCTTCAGAGTGCCCATTGGCATCCCGATAGGCCCGCGAGACGTCCCAGGCGCCAGAGAAGGCTTCAGAGGCCCTTCAGAAACCACACAGAGTCGCACGAGGACGGGCCCAGAAGAGGCCCCAAGGATGCCCCTGAGATCGGCGTCGCCCCAACATGCGTCCACTGAGTGTGCGCCCCCCCCATGGGGCGGCGCGCGCACCGAGAACTCTGATAGCATGCGCGCCGTGGCGGGCGCTTTCTGGCCGCAGCGCTCGGGAAACGATCAAGATGGGCATGCGATGTGGTCGTATCCAAGAACAGGCGCCCTCTCAACACGACCGGGCGCTGAGGATTTCCTGGGGCCACGACCTTGGGCGCGCCTCTCAACGCGACCAGACGTTCAGGAATTCCTGAACGTCCGGTCGCGTTGAGAGCTACGGCAGCTTCCATCGCGATCGGTGCCCCAAAATTCCTGAACGTCCCGTCGTGTTGAGATGGGCATGCGATGTGTCCGGGTCGGACGCGCGCCTCCAGGGAGGACGTCCAGTATCAGTACGTCCCCGCGCGTCCCCCGAGAGGGCTCCGCCCGGCGGGCTCCGGCTCGGCCCCAGCTGGTTCGGCCTAGCCGCGCTCCTTCCGGCCCAGCTGGGCACGACGCTGACGGGCCTGTTTTCCACCACGGCCACCATAAGTTGGAGGGGGGAGGGGGTCCTCCTCCCCCTCTTCTTCTTCCTCCTGCTCCTCCTCCTCCTCCTCCCTCCTCCTCCTCCTCCTCCTCCTCCTCCTCCTCCTCCTCCTCCTCCTCCTCCTCCTCCACCTCCTTCCCCCCTCCGACTTGTGGTGGTGGCGGTCGGAAACGAGCCCATCAGACGCCCCCGCACACTCCCCGCCCTCCTCGGTGCGCGCGGGGGCCAGGCCCCCGACGTCGGGGCTGGACCCAAGCGGTGTTCTGGCGATTTTTCGGAGGCCGTGTTCGTTTCGGCTTCGTTCTGCTCTGGAGGCGGGAGAACGAGGACGAGACGAAAAAAAAAACACACCGTTCAAGGCAGAACGAGGGAAAGAAGACTCGCCACGGTGGGAAACGAGACAAAACGAAACGAGACAAACGGTGGGAAACGAAAACCACCGTTTCAGACCACCGCTTTCGTTCCACTTCGGATTGAAGACAACACGAGGGAAAACGAAAGCACAACGAAAGCGAACAAAAAACACCGTTTAGGTTCCGCCCTGCCCGACGTCGTGGCTTCCTCGCAGCTGCCGCCCGCAGAGGCCTGGACCCTTGCCAACTCCTCCTCCTCCTCCTCCTCCTCCTCCTCCTCCTCCTCCTCTTCCTCTTCCTCCCCGTCCTCCTCCTCCTCCGCCTCCTCCTCCTCCTCCTCCTCCTCCCTCCTCCTCTCTCCTCCCCCTCCCCCTCCTCCCCCGTCGCGACGACCAGCATCACTTCCCAGCCGCCCCCCCCGCCCCCACCCCCACCCTCCGCTCGGACGGCCCCCCAGGAGGCCCCAGGAGGCCCCAGGAGGCCACAGGAGGCTCCAGGATGCCCCGTGAATTCCCAGGAGGTCCCAGGAGGCTCCAGGAGGCCCCGTGAATTCCCAGGAGGCTCCAGGAAGCACCAGGACGCCCCAGGACGCCCCAGGAGGCTCCAGGAGGCCCCAGGAGGCCCCAGGAGGCCCGAGAAGGAGGTCCCTGGAGGCTCCAGGGGGCCCCAGAAGGCCTCAGTATGCCCCAGGAGGCTCCAGGAGGTCCCAGGAAGCCCTAGGAACCCCTCAGACGGTCAGGAACGCCCTCCACAGAAAGGCTCCCAAGACACCCCATGCCCCCCAAGACACCCATCATACGGCCCAAGAAGCACAATAAAAAACGCAGGAGCCTTCTGCAGCTCCCGAGCTATCACATCTCTCCGTTTACTCATATTCATTATTATATTCCTCTTCCCCTGCCTCCTCCACGTCCTCCTCCTCCTCCTCCTCCTTTTCCTCCTCCTCCTCCTCCTCGTCCTCCTCCTCCTGCCCATCCTCCTCTACCCCATCCCCCTCCTCCTCCTCCTCCACCTCCACCATCCTCCCCCTCGTCCTCATCGAAGTCGGCCCGCCCGCCCAGCGCGCGAGGCTGGTGCGACGCGGCAGCGGGGCGGCGCGGGCGGCAACGCGGTGAATCCCCGGCACGCCCACCCAGTTCCAGAGAAAGCCAAGTAATAATACAGAAGTGCAATCATTGATTGGTTGATATCGGTAAGCACGCGGCAACGAGGCGAAGCTGGCGGCAACGTGGCAAATCTTCGGCACGCCAATACAATTCCTTATTGGGCCAAGTAGGACCACCTGAACGCATGCCTTGCCAAATAACACGCAGGCATACGATACTGTCGATGGTAATATATGCGTATTCTTACATGTAGGAATCTGTACAAACCCAACATACTTATATATACGTATACACACCTATACGTATATACAACACTATAGATATGAATATGTATATATATACATATAAATACATATATATATACATATATATATATATGTGAATATGTGTATGTATGTAGTCGGAGTATATGTTTACTGTGATCTGTATTTTTCCCCGCGCCCCCCCTCCTCCGCCCCTCCTCGCCCCAATGCTTTTTCTGGGTGAAACCGGACAGAGCAGCTGCGCGCGACGATCACCTGTACTTGTATTTCTGCTTAAGTGCCTTGACCATCTGGGCCCGCGCCTTGCGGATTCCGTCGACGTGGGTGCGGTAGAAGTGTGAGTCTGGAAGGGTCTTCTTTCCCCGGCGCTTGCGCCTCTTAGTGAGCAGCCGACGGTGTTCGCATATGCCGTATTCCACGAGATCGTAGCTCAGGAGACTGGCGAGGTCGACCTTGCACAAATGGCTCGCCACTTTCCGCCGCGCCTCCCCGTGGAGGCCCCGCCCTGCAATTTCCAATCGTTGCCGCGTGGTTGTCCCGGGTTGCCCCGCCGGTGTCCCGCGGTGGCCCTGCGGCCGTCCTGTTGCTGACCCGTGGTGGCCCGCGGCGCCTCGGAAGGGCATCGGCCACCTGAATAACGAAACTGCTAATGGCGAGCACCCGAAACATGACTTCACAAGCGACCACAGCCTGCGCGTGCTGAGCAGCAGGCACGGAAGCTTTGACGGCCATGGCGTTCAGCTCCTGGTCGAACTTGGAGCCCTTACGAGGCCGTTTGGCTGCGCTCTCACGAGGCGCCTCGTCGTCGGTGGCCTCGTCGTCGGCGTCTTGGGCCTGCTCCGCGTCGGCCGCCCCCGCCGCTGCAAGGCCCGCGGGCTGATGCTTCGCCAGCGCCGCAAGCGCCAGCGGCACCACCCCTGGCCCAGCGCAGGACGGCGTGACGCGCGGTCGTGGGACACGTGAGAAGTACGAGGCGTGGAACCGATCCAATATCATTTTGATTTGGTACGCATGGAACGATGATCCGCGAAGCAAGTAGATTGACTACGCGAGCCCCGCCTGGGGCGCACGGGCATGCAGTTCCAGTGTTCCGAGCCGCGCCCTCGGCTAAAAGCAAACAAAACCTCCTCGGCATCCTCGACTCATCGGCATTTGCTCTCCACCTCCTCCCCCTCCTCATCCTCCTCTTCGTTAAGCAAACAAATTCTCCTTATCCACATATGCATCCTCCGACGTCCGCGCGTCCGCGTTCATTTCTTCACACATATAAATTGTATTTTATATAGTGTTAAGTATCGTTCAGTATTTATGTATAATTATATATGTATATATGACTATATATATATATATATATATATTCATATATATATATATATACATATATACATATACTATATGCTAGATATGATATATACTGTACTAGAAGCACAGTGGGAATATCTAAATACGCACAACACCTTGCAAGCTTTTTAGTCGCATCGCGGCAGAAACTCCCCGCGCGCGCGTCCGAGCCCCGTTGGGCCCACTTCGCACGCACAACACCTTGCAAGCTTTCTAGTCGCACCGCGGCAGAAACTCCCCGCGCGCGCGTCCGAGCCACGCTGGGGCCACCTCGCCTGGCAACGCATGGACATCAAGGAACCCATGCGAAACCAGATGGTAAACCATCAAAAACTTGGCATATGAAGGAACGCCTGAGTCCCGCGGCTGCGACGGGAGTCAGTGGATCAAAATTCAATACGACGTCGTAAAAGGACGATACTGAATGACGTTCCAAGCCCCGCACTATGTCCCCTGCGTACACGCCCAGGCGGGCAGCCACCGTGTTCTTGACGTTCGTTTTCGACACTTTGACTGGCGGGCACAGGTAACCAGTCCTTGGGTTCTTACCGAGCGTGTAGGAAGCCTGCTCCATAGCTTTCTGGAGCCGTTCTTCTTGAACGCCCTCACCGGCCATGTTGCTTAATATCCGTGGGATCGATTCAAGTTGAGATGCGCGCGTGTCATTAAAGCGCAGATCCGCATATTTCTGTAAAGTGAGCTCGAAGTGCGTGGATTCGTTCAGCACGCGCCTGGCAATTCCAGCACCCAAAGCCACGGCGCGAACATCTTTAGTACGGATCACAGGTTGGAGACACACGTCCATGGCCGATAACTCAAAGGGGAGGGTGTTCCACTTGAGATCGTCCCACCATGTGTCACAACCAGCACGCTGAGCTGTGATCGGTAAGAAGTCGTTGCAAAACTGTTGCAGTGTGATGTCAACTCTGGATGTGGGGGTCTTCCGACGTGCAAGCCCGAATGCGCTTCTGATGAAAGATCGGGGCAACACAGATTGGCCATGAAGGCCTGCGATTGTCGCCACCAGCTTCATCACTATCATCGTCATGATCCCATAACCAAGCTCATTAATCTGGTCCCCTGGTGTTACACGATGCTCCTCGTAGAATAAAGAAGACATCGCGTGCTGTGCACAAGTGGCCCGTCGACAAGGTGGCGAAGCCAAAACTGAGAGGGCTAACAAGAGCACCTCGGGGAGTCTGACCACAATGGTTGGCGGAAGAACGAAGCAGGAATGAGGAATCAAGGAGGAGGATGACAAGGATAATGAGGATGAGGATGGGGAGGAGGATGGGACGGAGAAGGGAAGATGAGGAGGATTAGGATGATGAAACGCACGAGGGAGATAAGGATGATAATGAAGGGGATGATGATGAGGAGGAGGAGGAGGACACGGAAGAGGGATGATGAGGATCATGTGGATGGGGAGGAGGATGAAACGGAGGAGGGAAGATAAGGACGATGATGATGAGGATGATGATGAAACGGAGCAGGGATATCGTAAATGTCTGTTGGGCTGACGCTCAGCTACTTGAGCCAACCGCGAGCAGCTGGATACAGGGGTGGTTGTGGATCTCTGCCGTCGGCAGCGCATGCATACCACACGTTTAAGCATAACGGGTACATGCTTGCACAGTGATGTATGCAACTTTTTAACCACCAAATAAACATATGCGCAAACAGAACGAAACACGCATGCAATACTCATATGTGTCGGAACCGCTGTGTCCGAACACGTTGCGCTATGGAAGAGGCAGGGGGCACAACGCGTTAACAACATTTGAAATAACGAAAAATGAAGGCGCCGTTTTGTTCAATCACGCTGCCAGGTAAGAGCTGCAGCGTGCAGAATGTATTGTTTTTTGCATATAAAAACGCCCCAAACAGCCGAACAACAACTTATGTTGTTTTGTGTTTTGTTTGTCGTGCTGTTTTGCTTACTTTTTTCATGCAACAAACAATGTATTCTGCACGGGCCAGACTCCATGTGGCAGCGTGATTGAACAAAATGACGCCTGATATTATTGTAGATTTTTGTGATAAGCTCACATGTGCTATGCACGCGGCGACGTCCATGCGGCAGCGCGGCTGGACGACGCCATCACATCTCACTGTTAACACCGCCTTCTCACTACAAGGGATCTGGAACACCAGGGATCAGGTAACACAGAAACAGACAATTATTCGTTGTTCTTAAATCTGCTATTTTGCCTGGTCCCTGGGCCCTGGGAGAGACGTCCGGGCCCAGGATATGGAAAACCAGGGATCAGGCAAACAGCAAACTTCTTACAAATTTGAAACATGTTTATAAATCTGCTATTTTGCCTGGGCCCTGGGTCCTCGGATCGCAACTTGGGCCCAGGATCTGGGAAATCAGGGATCAGGCAAAATAGCAAAATTTTGAAAATTTTTAAAATTTTTAAAAATCTTGCTATTTTGCCTGGGCCCTGGGCCCTCGGATCGCAACTTGGGCCCAGGATCTGGGAAATCAGGGATCAGGCAAAATAGCAACATTTTTTTTTTAAAAAATATATTAAAAAAAAAATATGCTATTTTGCCTGGGCCCTGGGCCAGCGGATCGCAACTTGGGCCTAGGATCTGGGAAATCAGGGATCAGGCAAAATAGCAAAATTTTCAGAAAATTTTAAATTTCTTTAAAAATTTTGCTATTTTGCCTGGGCCCTGGGCCCTCGGATCGCAACTTGGGCCCAGGATCTGGGAAATCAGGGATCAGGCAAAATAGCAAGATTTTTAAAATTTTCAAAAATTTTGAAAATTCTGCCTCCCCCCTCAAATTTTTTTTTTTTTAAATCCCCGCCTTCTCAGAATGGTTGCTATTTCTGTTCATCCTGGGAGTCTACAATCCAATACGTTGAACGTCATTCGGGGGCGTCGCAAAGCCGAAGCATAAGCAGCAGGAAAACAGAAGCTGGGGACTCGCCGCTTGGGGGTGCATCCGAAGGGGGCGGGGGGGGTGGCTGGGAAGTGATGCTGGTCGGCCGTACCCTCCTCCCCCTCCTCGTCCCGAGCCGTCTTTTGACGGCCCCGAGGCCCGGGAAGGGGCCTCGAGATCCGACGTTGCCACAAACATTGGAGCATAGGCGGCCTGCTGCAAGTTTCGGCCTCCGGGGGCCCGCCGGGCCTCGGGAGCGTGAAAAAAAACTCAGGACGAAAAGCCGGCCCCGGGGAAGTGGTCAGAGCCCCGAATCATCAGGGATAACTCGGGTCAGGGATAACTCGGGTTCGTTTTTCGGGAATCCAAACCCGAGTTACCCCGGACCCGAGTTACCCCGGATAACTCGGGCGTCCAAAGTGGTCCAGACCTCCGGGGCCCACGCATCAACTCACTCAGCCACAGGGGTATCTCGGAGTGCTCGGGAGGGTGGGGGTCTCAGAACCATCCAGGGCGTCTTGCAGAACGGCGGAATGCATTCTCCAGAGGCCTGGGCCTTGATCGAATCATAAGCATAAGCATCTGGAGGCTCCCAAGAGGCCCCAAAGCTGCCTGCGGCCCAGTCAGATTGGCATGCGACTCGCAAAATCTGCGCCCAGTCCCAGAGCCCGACAGTGGCCCCCGAGGGCCTCTCTCTTGGCCCAAGGGGTCGGCGGTGTGGCCTACACCTTAGGCGATGCTTAAGAAAACTTAAGTTTTCGGCCAGAGTCTCGATTATTCTTAACGTTTCAATGTAAATCCTAAGATTTTGATCGAATCTTTGGGTTTTTATTCAAGTTCTGAGACCATTAATTTCTTAACCCATGATTTCTTAATCATTTCGCGTGGTGTAAGCTCGAGAATCATCACCCCCAAGAAGCCTCCCAGACGCCCCCGCGAGGACCCAGGAGGCCCCACAGAGGCCTCCAGGGGCCCCCAAGAAGTTCCCAGGGGCCTCCAGACGTGCACCCCGCGAAGCGAGAGGAGTCATCATTCTAAGCATCTCTCAGGAGGGGAACAAAAAACACACAGGCACAATTGATTGTCGATCCCCCAGAAAATAGGCGAAAATATGGGCCGTGGGGGGGAAGACAGACACCCAGAACATATGGGAAAAGATGGGGGCATCTGTTTATGTGTGTGACTTTATTTGTGTGTCCCAGGGCCCCTTCAATCTCACCACCTGTCCGCCGTATCAATCGGCATTTTGGCTCGTGGACGCGCTTCACTTCGGTGCGTTTGTGTATACTGGGTAGTCGAAGGCCAGACTGTCAGATTGGATTGGGCCCCAAGGGCCAATCTGGCCTGGCCAAACTGGAGGATTTGGGTTATTCGCCAGACTGGATTCGCGTTGGCTCCCTCGCCAGATTGCCCCCGTTTGCCAGATTGGGCCTGCCAGATTGGCGCCAGATTGGCTTCGACTACCCAGCGGGGGGAAGCTGGGAGTCTCGGGCCCGAGGTCGGAGGCTCTCTCTCTCTTCTGGGTTTTCGTCGGCCGCCGCACGAGGAGGGGGAGGAGGAGGAGGAGGAGGAGGAGGAAGAGGAGGAGGAGGAGGGGAGGAGGAGAGGAGGAGGAGAGGAGGGGGAGGAGGAGGAGGAGGAGGAGGGAGGAGGGAGGAGGTTGTCTCTCCTGGGTTTCGACTG